TATGTTTATTTTGGCTTTCTATCATTGTCAATTTGCTTCTTAATGTGATYCTAATAATMTATTGTATGTATTAGYGTGTTCTTGATGCTCTTTTCCCCTCGGTGCTTGGTGGGACATGTGCCATTCCTGGTGCATTCGGCTGTGGGAAAACTGTTATTAGCCAAGCTCTATCCAAGGTATCTTTGATGTATAGCGGGTTGTCACTCATTTGAAATTTTGAATAGTTAGATGCTGATATTGTTTCCATATTAACTATTTGCCTGTCATCATGCAGTACTCAAATTCGGACACTGTCGTTTATGTTGGTTGTGGAGAGAGAGGAAATGAAATGGCAGAAGTACATCCCACTGAATATAATTCCTTTTGTTTCAGTTGTTGATGAATGCTTGTCTTTGATGTTCTATAATAACTTGGCAGGTTCTCATGGATTTTCCCCAATTGACTATGACATTGCCTGACGGCCGTGAAGAATCTGTCATGAAACGTACTACACTTGTTGCTAACACTTCAAACATGCCTGTGGCCGCTCGTGAGGCTTCAATCTATACAGGTAACAGTGCAGTTTTTCTTGTCAAAAAGATGTTCTATGGAAAGCAAGCTGGACCAGAAAACATGAAAGCTCTTGTATTTGTTGTGTCAACTATTTCCATGAGACATATCTTTACATGTGCCGGTGATAGTGCTTCAGATGAAGGATGGATTGAAGAATAAGTTTTGAATCTAATGTCCAACCTTGACAAATTTTCTGCTTCTTGCTTTTTGGCTCTTGGTTCTTCTGCCATGAGCAGAAGGCTGTCATATCACACATGAGTTTGTATACTGGAAAATGGATGATAATTGGCTTTGGGTTTCTAGTTGTGTGAAGCTTCTAAGTGAGTTGATCAGTAGTCTCTCAGACTACATTAAGTTCTAATTTAATTGTATTTTACTTATACTCTCAGGAATTACCATAGCCGAATACTTCAGAGATATGGGCTACAATGTAAGTATGATGGCAGACTCTACCTCACGTTGGGCAGAAGCATTGCGTGAAATTTCTGGTCGACTGGTACGCATCAAGATCTTGACATTTTAAACTACTCATCTCAGTTTCTGAGAATGTGCATTTTTTTCTCCATTGGTAGGACAATATTTGTTCTCTGTATGTCATAGTAGGGAACCTCAGCTTTCTCTTCTGTAATTCTTTAATTTATGTGATCAAAACTGAAGAATTCTTCTAATTACCAACTGTTGAAGAAAAGATGTTTATGATGATTATTGCCATAAGGCATTAACGTGTAAAAATAGGTGTACTGAAATGCAAATTTAAGTTGGATATAAAAGTTTGGTACCTTAGTTCCTCACCTTTTAAAGTTCTTTTGTGGATCTCGTTTAAGAAAGAAGGATCTTTCTATATCAAATAACTTCACCAGTGTTCCCTTGCTTTGTCAAACGTTAGTAGCTTTAGTTGATTTTGATTCTATCTTGGAATGTTGTTTCTAGGTTTTCCTGCCCTTCAAGTTGTGCTTTGCTGTTGTTCTAGCAGCAAGATTTTGCCGTTGTGTCATGGAACTAATTTTTTGCCTTCTTTTGTTCAGGCAGAAATGCCTGCTGATAGCGGTTATCCTGCTTATCTAGCAGCACGTCTGGCATCCTTCTATGAGCGTGCTGGTAAAGTAAAGTGTCTTGGTGGACCAGAACGTAACGGTAGTGTCACAATCGTTGGTGCTGTATCTCCTCCTGGAGGAGATTTCTCTGATCCTGTTACATCCGCTACTCTCAGCATTGTTCAGGTATTTGTTGTAAATGTTATATCTTTTCAGTTTGTTCTTTAAATTTGAATGACGAGGCATATTTATGTTGCTGCATCTATTAAACAAATCTACATCTGGGTAAACCTAGTCCTTCGCTAGCAAATCATTATTACTTATAGCTGTGTTGTTGGTGAATTTTTAATAGGAGTACTGGCTGGTTGTATGATTTGTTGTCATAAGCTATTGCCCAAAGCCTCAAAAGTTATATCTTCTCTATGCTAAGTTGCTAACATATGCATTGCACATTTTCTCAGGTTTTCTGGGGTTTAGATAAGAAGCTTGCACAGAGGAAACATTTTCCTTCAGTTAACTGGCTTATCTCCTACTCAAAGTACTCAACGGTGCGTTGTTGATATGAACCCATGTATGCTGTGCATATTAAATGTGTACACATATACATCAGTTCTCACTTTTGCACCTCATTATATTTTCGTTCCTACTGACGAAATATTACTTGTTCAGGCTCTGGAATCATTCTATGAGAAGTTCGATTCGGATTTCATTGACATTAGGACAAAAGCTCGTGAGGTGCTGCAGAGAGAAGATGATCTGAATGAAATTGTCCAGGTTTGTTGCTTTTCACTGTTCCAACTTTTATGTTGTTTGCTTAAATTTGGAATCAAGTTTCATGATGTGATTTCATGATATCAAATGAGAATTTTGCTCACACCTTAGAAGTCCGAACTATGTAGAATAATACATGTCCTTAGTAATGTATGATCTGTATGGATTCTCATTGACATTCTCACCGGACATAGATTAATATAAAAGATCACACAGAAAATATCTACCTATAAGTGTGAAACTAGGTACCACATTGGAGTTACACTCATTTGATTAGTTAAGATTGTTGATTGTAACGGACATTATGGAAGAATTGTAGAATTGAAGTTGATTTCCTGTTGGACAACCACAAAAAGGATGTAAATGTTGGTAAAAGAATTTGAAAAATCCAGAAGACAGTAAAAAGCCTTGATTTATGATGGAAGAGAGTATTTTTTGCAAAGTTGAACGTGTGGATCGGTTTTTTTGGTCACGCGATTGGATCTTGCAAGTTGATTGATAAGGGATCAGATGATGGAATCCACCTCTGGCAGCATGAACATAAAATTAGCTAGCTTTTGTCTTTAGCAGATACTATACACTGCTCTTTATGGATTGGTTTAATTGCTGAAGGATATTGTGGTTGTTTCAGCTTGTGGGGAAAGATGCCTTGGCTGAAACCGATAAAATTACCTTAGAGACTGCAAAACTTTTGAGGGAAGACTATCTTGCTCAAAACGCATTCACACCGTAAGTAACCTCAATTTTCTTGCACCAACTTATTTAACTATATGCTTTTCAAACTTGTATTGTGACATTTTGTTGTTGTGACAGATATGATAAATTCTGCCCCTTCTACAAGTCTGTATGGATGATGCGCAATATTATCCATTTCTATAATTTAGCCAATCAGGTGGGCTATCATCGGTTTTGTTATGCTTCTTTTAGGTCTCAGACTGTCATCTTAGTTTTGTTGATGTTCTTAAAATAGTTGCATGTCTTCTTTTTTTTCAAAAATATTTCGCAATGATTATAGTCCTCGGTATCTTTATTTATATTTTGAGGTATCTTTACATTTTATAAAGAATCTTGAGTGAACAAACTTATATAGGTGTGAATTTGGATGGAAGCTTACACATACAAAACATAATTGGTGAATTTGACTTTACAGGCTGTGGAGCGAGGAGCGGGCATGGATGGGCAGAAGATCACTTACACGCTGATCAAACATCGGTTGGGTGATCTGTTTTACCGCTTAGTGTAAGTGAACGTGAAGTTGTGTCCATTAAATGTTGAGGATGGTTTAGCGGTCTAATCTGGCAATTGAATGATAACAGGTCTCAGAAGTTTGAAGATCCAGCTGAAGGGGAGGATGTTCTTATTGGGAAATTTAAGAAGTTAAACGAAGATCTTACTTCTGGTTTCCGTAACCTTGAGGATGAAACTCGGTAGATGGAGAATGGGCGTAATTAAATGATCTGAAGATGAAACGGAGTAGCACATTTTCATCTGTCTGTCATCTCAAGAGCCAGTGCCGGAAGGAAGGAAGGAAGGAAATGAGATTGTTGTTAGTTGTTTGATTGATTTGTTATTTCAGAGGGTGGTTGATGATTGTTGAATATCATTTGTGTCGTTTTAGCAGCTGCCTATAATTATTATTATTATTTCTGCAGGCATTTTGTGTCTTGTTGTTGAGAGTTGGAAATAAGACTGCAGTATGTAGCCATTTTGTGTCGAACAACTACTCTCCGAACCTATTATTATTTTTACGTGTTGAATGGAATAAGTAAAGGGTTCATGTTTTTGGTCGTATGGTTTGGAATTTGGATGTACATTTGTTAATACTACATTCACATTCTTCTTTACCAATCCATCATAGAACTTAATAAATGATCATGTAGTGAAAGCAAGCACATTACCAATCCAATGCTAAAAACCTTGATTCTTACCTTGAAGTTGGAGTGATGTGACAATCATTATTCGCTCGTAAAAAGGTTGGTTATTGAGTTGTTAAATTTTTTTTAAGGTTTCTAACAGCAACGATAAATCCCTTTTAACCAGATATAAAACGTAGGTTTGAGATTGTTTAAAGTTGTATATTTGTAAGTTTTGGTAGATTCTATGAATGCAATTGAAGATAATTTAGTTTATTGAAAGAAAAAGAAAAAAGGGACTTCAATTTGTTAGTTTTTTTTTTTTTTTAATGTGTCGTCGTTGGCGACAAGACAACTACTTCTCTTCCAATCCTTTCCAAAGGAAGGAGCAATTTAGTTTTCATTCCAATTGTCTGCCGCCATGGATCAACTCAACACCAACAACGCTGAAAACGAGGAGCTTCTCGGAAGGAAGAGAAGAAAGGAGTTAGGATCAGTGGTTATAGGCAAAGGGAAGCCATTGATAGTCGGGATGTGTGCTACTTTGGTCTACTACCATTGCGCATATCGTAATTCAAGCATCGTATCACTCCTTTCCGACGTCTTCATCGTCCTCCTTTGTTCCCTCGCCATCCTCGGCCTCCTTTTCCGCCAGATGAACATCCAGTACGACGTTTTCTGCTTTCTCATTCATCTAATTGTTAGATTGATTTCCTTCATTCGGATCATCTAACTGTTAGATTGATTTCCTTCATTCGGATCATCTAATTGTTAGATTAAATATCGCCCTAGGCTATTATCACATAACTTTCTCCATCCTGGTATGCGTATTGGATCCATTCCCCTATACCTATTACTTAAGATCGCACTATGCTTATTGATTGTCCTCTGATATTTGCAGAGTGCCTGTGGATCCCCTGGAATGGCAGATATCTCAGGATACTGCTAACAGCCTCTTTGCGTGCTTGGCTAATACTGTAGGTGCAGCTGAATCTGTTCTCAGGGTTGCTGCAACCGGCCATGACAAGCGCCTCTTTCTAAAGGTTATCATTCAACATCCTTGTTTTGTTTCGCTTCACCTACTAGTCCAAAACTCCCTGGTCGCTGCAATTACAATTTTTCTTATTTATTACACGAGGATTATTGTGTTCTGCCTCAAATGATGGTCATGTAAAGGCTACCCCAGTAATTGGTCTTAAGACAATAAAGAGAAACCGAATGAAATGCTTTCTGAGATACTCCTCAGTGTGCTCTTAAAATATGCAATACCTGTGAGATCCTTGGCCAAAACTTTATGTAGCATTCTCCATCATTGCAGAAATTATTTGCTCAAGTTTAATCAGATTAACAGAAATGTGAGTTAATTTGCTGATTTTACATGTATGTAAAGGGAAGATCTTACAGGTTAACCGTTGCTTGATAATTTAGGAAGCCATGTGCTTAGCATGTGTAAAAGGGATATGATTATCATCCTCTTTGTGACATGTTTAGAGATAAATGATGTGTGGTCTGTGGTTAAATCGATGTTGTTAAGTAGCCAGAATTGCTAGAAATCATGATAAAGATATTTGGAAATGGTATAAGCAGGACTTACTTACCTACGCCTCCGGATGCGGCCGCCGGACAACTGCCCAATGCTGGCGTTGTGCCAGAAGAAGAAGGGCCGGTGGTGGAAGCTTATCCTTATTTGGATAAATGCCATGTCAGGCGCACCTACAGAATCGGAACAGACCAATTACCAGATCCATCAGAGGTTTAAAGAGGTAGTGATTCTAGGACTAGAGAGAAGTTTAAGTCGACCAATGTGATAGGGAAATAGGAAGTGGATATAAACTAGTTGTAAACTACATTGAAAACAATTGATATGCCTTTGAAAAATCAACATTTACATTACTAAAATTCAAATTATCATGCCCACTTGTACAGTAAACCATTGTTATAGTTAAGTTGATATGGTGGCCATTGCCCTTCATTTTAGCCAATAAAGCACACAATCATAAAACATATGAAGTCTATGACTAAACAGGAAGTCTTTAATTATAAATGGATGAAGCTCGCATTGTTGATTAGATTTCACCTTTTTTCTGCATCTGGATTTGTTATCAAATTAAGAAATTATTTAGTTTGATGGAGTTATGATACTTCATGCTCACGTTTTTGTTATCTGTTGTAATTGTTGGGTGATCCTATACATGTTATATTAGTGTACTTAATTTCCTTCTATCTAATAAGAGCCTAACTAGTGGTCTTAAAAGAAAAACCAATCAAAGGAGTTGACTGCAGGTATAGGCCAGTTTTTGCATTAACATTTCCTTTCTCTACTCCCTCACCTTTTGGGTGTCATATTAGGAAACTAGAACAGATAGAATGGGAACACTTGTTTTCTGTGTTGAATAGATATTTTTGCTGTCTTTTGTCATTTTCTTTTCTTGACTGCGTTCTGCTATTTTTCTGCCTTTTCTCTAGAAAGATTATTAGACATCAATAATAACGGTAGTCTTGTTCATAATTCATAATAGGTGGTTGTCATTCTCTATATGCTATCAGCTTTGGGAAGATGGGTCTCAGGTGTTACTGTTGCTTATGCTGGTATGTGGCCGCTTCTCTCTCTCTCTCTCATATTGTATTTGGTAGCAAGTCGTCGAGTCGACTATATCTTTCTGCTCCTTATTCCACTATATTATGTTTTAAGATATAAGAATTTTCTTACCAAGGGTCTTTCAAAAAATTATTCTTATTCTTTCTCATCTACCGAGGACCAAATTGCCATCCTTATTCTTTCTGATATATTTGTTAATTTTTGTATATGCGTTAATATGTTATATATCTAGTCATGCCTACATGCTTCCACCTGTTCTTTTTCAAAGAGTAGTTAAGTTTATGCTTGTAGTTTTCATAAGTTCTTTTAGTTAATTCCTTTTCCCATGCAAGCTTTACATTTGGTTTGTTACTTTGGCAACAGGACTGAGCTTGTTTTGTCTGTATATTCTTGCTGAAAATTCGTCATTTTTTAGCACATGCTCCTCAAAATTTTGCTGGAGAAGAGATAGCCCTAATGATGTGCTAGATAACACATAATTTCAACACTCCCTGTAGTTGGTACGTAATTCTTCCATGCTGTATTTCTGGCATTAAAATTCTGAGTAGGTATCTGTCACTGAGTTTCTGTTAGAAATGCATTTCGCATTTTTGTATCCAACTTCAGATGTAATCACCTGGGATTATATGATATTATTGTCTACACATATGATGCTTTGTACAGTTTACTTTTTTTTGGGGGGGGGGGTGAGTGATGGATAATTTCTTTAGAAGAATCCTGTCATAATATGTTCATAAACAGGACCCATTACAGAATAGATAAATGTCATCTGGCTACCTCTTTACCTCAATGCGACTAAACCAAACCAAATGAATCTCACGTGATGTAGGGTTTGGGGAGGATATGATGTACCCCGGCTTGTAAAAAAGTTTTGAGAAAAAGGATGTTCAACCGAAAAAGGTTCCGTAAAGTTTGAAAAAGTTATAAGAGGAGAGATAAAAGAAAATACATGATAGAAAAGCAGGTAAGCATAGTCGAATAAAGAGTGGCATGAAAGAATAATAAAGCACACAAGGACATAATGAGAAGATACAGAACCACCATTAACCAAAGGGCCTTTGGCCTAGCGATCGTAGTCCTTAGCCTCCAAGGAGGTCAGAAGTTCAAACCTCACCAAATGTGAGGAAGGGGTGTGAGTTTTTTTTTTGTTGCATTTGCCGTATATAAATATTATATACTTGAAAAAAAAGATACAAAACCATAAACTAAGGGTGAAGAGCGGTTGACTCTAACTCTCCCCCATCTTAGGCCACGCATACCAAGATGTCGAAATCTCAACCTCTCCCAACCCACCCTTTACCTTTTTACCCCCTGTCCTCAAAATTTGTGTCCTTGCAGATAATATGCTACCATCTATGCCTTCACATACTGCTATCTGAGATCATGTCTCTCGAAATGTCTAACACCTATATGTCCCGTCTAAATTGCTCCTTCCAGGTCCTCCTTGGTCTACTACTCCTCATAGTCTCGACCTTTACTCTCTCCACCGTCCTCACCAGTGCCGACAATTGTCTCCAACAAACGTGCCCAAGCAATCACTATCTTCCCTCAATTTATCTGTAATAGGCATTAGGTACTACTCCCTATGTTGCTCGAAAAACCTTGTTTGGTATCCTGTCTAACATTGCGTCAACAAGGCCAACTAAGATTTTCGTTTCAGTGGCCTCTTTCTTCCTCTCAAGGGCCTTCTTTTATCGCTCAACACCTCCGTGCCATACATAATGGCTGGTCTCACGGCTACAATGTAGAATCTTCCAGCAGCATCTTGCCGCACAACATTTATGTTGTCACCCTCCATTTAACCATCTTCCCTTTATGCGGCGAGTAACATCATGCCCTATCTCTCCCTTCTGATCATCGATCCTAGATACTTGAAACTGTCCTTTTGAGGTACTCTTTGCCTCCTATGTGATTTCCACCCGATCAACATTACTCTCCCTGCTAAAATCAAACCAACGATATTATTCAGTCTTAGTGCGAATAATAAGTAAGCCTGGAGTCTCCAAAGGCACCCTTCAATTCTGCTACCAAAACAATGTCATCCGCAAATAGGATTCACCATGCGACACACCCTTGGATCCATCATGAAATCTCATCCAAAACCACAACAAAGAGAAATGAGCTTAGTGTCGTGCAGCCTGAAAATACAGTCTTACCGAGGTGCTGAAACAATTCAAAGTATGCTCAATACATTTCTTGTATTGCGTCGAGGCACCTCAATGCAACTATTGAGCCTAATTTGTTGGTAATCCAAACATCACCCTCTACGAGATTATGCGTCAAAAAATGTTTTTGATTTCAATTTTTTTTCGCCCCTAGGTCCCGTACTACTATGACCGGATCCCAGCTGGTTACGGCCCAATTGTTTAACTAACTAGTTAAGAATTTAGAAAACCAAATTAGCCAACCACCAGACCTCCATAATCGGTCCAGTATTTTATGAATCAGAAACAACTGACCAGGTTTCATGTATTTTATGAATAGAAAACAATTTGAATGATAAAAGTTTGCGTTTTCTTTTTGTTTCTTTATATGGGGTAATACCGCAATAGTAATCAAATAATTAAGAATTAGAGTATATCACGTCATATAATATTTGTGTTTATTTTTTTTATATATAATAAAGAAAAGATGAACGTTAAAATAAACCGGCCTTCATATAACTTGTTTGTGTTACCCAACCGGTTACAATCGATCCTCGATATTTCATCCTGCAACCGGTTATAAGCAAAACCAGAACTGGCCTAACCGGTTATAAGCAAAACCAGAACTGGCCTAACCGATTAAAGACCCAACTGGGTAACCTGCTTTGCCATCTCTACCTACCTAGGTGTTCCCACATCACTTTAAGTTTCTAGCCGTGCCCTCAATCACCGAGTACTCGTATAGAGTCGTAATGCCATCCATGTTCATACCACAAAAGGCTAATTGAGTTACTGACCCGAAGTAGAAACTTGGAAGTCTAAGTAACTAGTGTAAGATAACTTCATTTTATAAATAAAACACAAGAATCAAAGAGGATAAAAAGAACTCCAACTGTACATCAATCTACAGGTGGACTTAAGGAGAGGGCTGGTCAATCAATAAACTAGAAGCACATGCAGAGAAGAGAACGAGAAGATAAGGGAAGTGAATCATGCACCACCTTTTTATACAAAATAATGGAGGCCAGATCTAACAAAATTCAAAGCCACTTTATCTAACAAAATTCATAAGGACTTCAAGGCGTTATCTTCTTGATGAAAAATAAAAAGATAACGAAAAACTTATAAATACATTTAGGGGTTGAAACTTATTGCCTATGCTTGTCGTCACCTAGCAATATATCTTTCCAAGCTTCATAAAACATCCAGGTGATGCCGGATGATGGCATCACCTTCAAACAACTTGCACCCCATCCTCTATAGAGTCCAATTAAACCCTCTTCCCTCACTACTTCTGAAAGTGCCGCTGCCATATGCGGTGGGCACTTACCTTGCAGCGCTCCCACCATTAGCCGTTTCCTCGCCACCTCCAAAGGAAAACTGATTGTACTTGCAGTCAGACCTGCCCAAACAAAAACATAAGTTTGTTGGATCCTAAAATAAAATCAGTTAATGGTTTCACAAACAAACAAGTATGACCCTACACACCTGAAAGAGCTCCGATCAGTAACATCTCTGGACGGCTTAAAGATTTCTTTTTCTGTGCTGTACAATAAGACTTCTTGATGGTGTCATACATGAAATAGTAACAAGTGCTGTATGGCAGCATGCCAATCAATGTTGGAGAAAGACCAGCATAAAAAGAACCAACCCCACCATTCCTATAAATCTTCTGAACCGCAACACTCAAATTAGGATAAGCATCAGGACTTATGGTCAACCGATCCTGCAGCCACAACATGCAGCCTAGCATTAAGTCAAGAAAACAAGGCCATAACAAAGTGCATGTATAGGGTTAAACTTTTTAGGTTAATGACCATAGACTATTTACCTTCAAGACTTCAAGAGGATGGCACACAAGTGTGCTAACAAATCCTGCAGCTGCACCCCCAAGGGCAACTGGTGATAGCCATGACAGAGAAAAACTTAGTTTGACACCACCAATCTGCACATTTGGACAATCTTCTCGACTCCATTTCTCTTTTGCTGAAGTCATTACTCGTTTCACACACTCAAATGTTCCAAGTTCAATTGCCTGTGTGGGAACAATGCGTATCATGTTGATTGCATTTCCAGCCCAAAGTCCTTGCCAACCTTGTTTTTCAATGACCTCAAGAAAACTACCAGATATCTTTCTGGACCCAACACCAACCACCATCCTGGTCCTGCATAAATTGTTTTCTAAGTGTAACTTCTCATGCCTTACAAAGGGTTTGTTTGTTAGCACTTAACGAGTTTAATGAGAGACGGCTTATTCCAACTGTTTGGTAGTGGCTTAATGATATATAAAGTGGTTTATTTAGTACTTTTTTAGGGGGGAACTTTATGTAAAAAGCCAAGTTTTTTCCAAACCTGGCCCTCCCAATTAAACAACATGTTCCTTTCATCTATGAAAAAACCCTCCCAAACAAAAACCTTTCCGCTCTATACAGAATAGATTAATCCAAATAGACAAATTTATCTGTTCATGACAAATTTTTCTGTATGGCAGATCTCTAAGCTTTGACACAACCTTTTGCATGCTGGCTTCAATCTATTTACTCAGCAGTTCCAATATTTCCAAATTCTAGTTGTTCCAATAACCCTATGACTGTTGGCATGAAAGCTTATGATAACAGAAGTTGCAAACTCCAAAATCAAGTGAATTCCACATAATCAACGGCGTTAATTTATTGGTTCAATGGGTTCTGAAATCACCTGCTCCTTGTGACCCACAATTATATAGTAGTTTTTAGCTCAAACCATTCTCTTAAACCTTGTGATCCTAATAAATAGATCATAGGCATGGAAGAGTTGATGACAGATTAATAGGCTCAAAATTCAAAAGGCCAATAAGAATTTATGCTTCATCTAATAAAGCATATTATATATTTTTTATACTCCTCCCACACAGAAGATGGATCTTCTTAACATCCAAGAAGTCTAGCCTATAAGTTGTGATTATAATCTATAAGCATAATCTTAGAGAAGACACAGACAGATAAGCGTACTTGCTCTGAACAGAAACTGGAGATCTGAATGTGGATAAAAGGCGGTAGGTGGTGCTTCTATATAAGCCTCTGGAAATCAAGTCAGTGATTTTGTTTATTTCTGGTCATCCATCCCTTCATAACCATTATCATGTATGAACTACTTATTATCCTACAAACTAGAAGCTGCTCATCAAGGATCTTGATTGCTAAGCTAGTTAAAAAGAACTAGAGCCAATAATTTGAGTTTGTGGATATGAAATAAAGAAAGTATGTAGGAACCTGATGGTTTCAAGAGGAGCAAGAACAGCTTTAGTCATAGCCCCAGCCAAAGCACCACTAAGAAATTCCCCAGCTTCCCTTGTCCTAAAAAATTCCTGAAGCAAGTATACGAATTTCACTTCAATTTACAAAACCAAGTAAGCGTGTTGCATAAGCAAAAACCAGAATCAATTAGAATCTGGTTTTCAAGCAACATGCAACAGAGTAGAATAAAAGTAAAAAAAATCAAGGGTTAGTGAATGATGGAGATAGTTACGGTGAAGGGTCGACGAATATCGGGAATTTGAAGTTGCAGATCGTCTTTGGTATGATGATGAGCCAAGAAAACAAGGTCGAGGTTCTTATGGAGATGCGTGGAATCTAGGATAGCTCCATAAACATCAGGCATTGTACAGAAGCTGCTCTTTCGCTGCTGATCCATCGAAGGGAGAAATAGAAGAATCAGAATAGTTGGTTAGTTGGTTATAAATTGATAAGAGAGAGATTTGTAGAGGCGTGAAGAATGTGCGTGCCTGAGCCTGAGACGGAGATTTTGAGGTCATTTTAGTTTGGGTCCTTTCCCTCCTCTGCCTGTTTAGATATTTTGGTTTCAGGCCGTCGTCTTCTTCTAGGACCGTCCTTGGCTTTGAAATTGAAAGAGAGATTTTGTATTTGTCATAGTCTCTCTCTCTCTCCACGTTGTCACTCTTTGGTTTCTTTTTTTTAGGGTTTTGTTTTCAGGCCCGTTTTTAGTAATTTATGGCCCACTTTTTCTACACACAAACACAACTCAAAACCGACACCGCCTATTCTCGACTCGACTCGATAGAGTTTTGGAATCTTTTTTTGTTTTTAATTTTATTTCATCCATCATTTAAATTCATTTCTAAAATCAAGAATCCTTTTATTGTGAGAAAGATTATCTCATAGAAATTTAATTTCACTGATAGGAAGAAGATAGAATAATTTCTTTTACATACAAGTATGAATCTCTCATACTTTGTCTTTTTTTTAAGAGAAAAATCATCAAAATCTGAATTTTGAAGAATTTGTTTTAAAATAAAAATTAATTAAAATTGTACTCAATTTCAACATTAATTGTAGTATTAAAAAATTCTACAAAATCATCATTCTAATACATTTTTAAGAAAAACTTCAAATAAATAGTAATGCATTCAACTTCAAATGAATCTCAATATTATATTTAGAAATGTTCTCAAATTTAAAGATTCTCTTGTTCTTTTTCGTTTTCTTTGTTTTAAAGTAGTTTGAAACAAAATAATCTTCAAAATCTCTATTTTATCATAAACGTTAGAGCTCATCTTGACCTAACAGTATCTTGCCTTTGGTTTCCTTGTATACAATGAATAATTTGTCTTATTCAATGATAAACAAGAATGCGGTGCATAATGATGACAGAGAAATTCAAATAGTTTACAATTGATACAAGGACCAGTAAAATGACAGGTATCATCAGTTGCTTCATGTTGATAGAGAAATTTAAATAGTATACACGTTCCACCACTACTTGATACACACATGTCATTGCCTAGTCAAAAAAAATGACAAGTAACATTGATGCAAAATTATGCATACACCATGCAGTAGCTTTAAGTCGATCATGGTAAACCCTTCGACCGGACCCTATATATAATCAGCTGCTTCCGGTTGAAGTTTTCATTGGATAACCTTCACGTACCCTCTTGGCTTTACAAAGAAATAGCAATCCGAGAAACGAAAGGGCCTGGACCAAGACTTGCATAACATCATGAGACAACCATGACCATAGTATTGGAAACATCTAAATCAGAATCACAGTTACTGTCTCGAATAACGATCAACAATTGCCTTGGCCCCCTCCGGTGCAAAGAATCGAGCCTGTAAGTAACAATTATCAATACTTGTGTGGGGTGTGGTTGTGGTTGTATGGTGTGTGTGGTGCGGTGTGGCATACAGTATGGTGTGGTATGTGGTTGTGGTGGTGGTGTGTGTTGTGAGGTTGTATGGCATGGTGTGTGGTGTGAGGCGTGGTGTGTCGTGTGGTTGTATGGTGTGTGGTGGTTGGGGTCTTGTGTGTGGTGGTATGGGGTGTGGTGCGAGACACACAACGTACAAAACAAGTACAAACTTTTTGCTTGATTGTCACTCACTTGTATAAACATCCTCTCTGCATCTCCAGATTTTCCATTTGCTTTCAGGATAATTCCCTGCAAAGATGTGAGCTCTCTTATATCAACCAAACACAAGAAAGGCTGGACAAACAATAAGTAACATGCAGCTATGAATTAGGTAAACATGTTCTGCAAAGCTCAGCAACGTTAACCCCAAGCTAGTTGGAGGCTGAAATCTTAAAATGGGAAAGAATACTTTAGTTAACTGAAAGAAGAAAAGGTGTTCTTGAAAACCCAGATTGCATATACAGTTTCTTAAAATAAAAAATCTCTCCTCATTGAATTGACTAATCAAAGACATCACAAGATTGTTCTGGATTTTCCAAGCTCGGTCTTCTCAATCATGGGAGGGAAATTTTCAATTCGTGTGGTCCTGATCTTTTCCATTTCACAGATTGAGACCATTGAACATAACAATTCCCTTTTAGTTTATGACTGACAATAGGAATCTGGACATTTTCTACTCTGTTTGATGTTTCTAATTCATGATGGTGGTGGATTCACAATCGGTTTACAGCCATGTCAAGTATGAAAAGAAATATGAAATTACGGAGGCTGTTCTGATTCCATGTGGAGTTCTGATGATAAAACTGACAATTCTTATTTATTCTAAAGAATCAGGGTGTACCTTAAATAGAAAAAGTATATAAAGAACATAATGAAACTATACAGCTAGACAAAATGGAAGATATAAGTAATAATCAAATACACCTTATCAGGAATCATAGGAAATAACCTAGGATTTCTACTCAGCTGTATATTAATTCCTAAAAGAGAGTATTGCCAATAAGACTATTATTTTAGTGAGTATATCCAAGAACATCCAACTCATGAAGGGACAAAATACATGAATCATGGATTTTTCTCTAGCAAAGGCACTGCATTTTGGAAGTGTGACGTGCCACCCAATTAGACAAAGAAAGCATTAAAAATTATAAGGAAGTAGAAACAAGAGATGAGGAATGTTCTTAACCTTTGCTAGGTAACCCCGAAAATCATCCGGGTGGCTAGAGATGAGTTGATCATACACAGATACAGCATCGCTGACATGGCCCCAGTCAGAGTACGCTTTTCCAAGAAGTAATTCAACCTAAGAAAATATATTCTGAAGAAAGTAAAATAATTGTGCACAGAAAATTCCATCAAATACATCCAGCCGTCAACCCTCTCCGCATTATTTCAGCAGTATGCGTTATTAGATATAGGGCCAGCTACACGTCTTCCTAACAATATACTATGTCAGCCATTTTTTCATCTGTGAATTGTTAATGAACCCATCTCATTCGTCGACTCTATGTAATCTAATTGCTGAATGAATAATACGTTCAGCAAGTTATGCATGATGAAACTGTCATTTACGTGACAATAAACACAGGGAGATTATTTTGCAAAGAAGAAACTCACTTGAATAGGGTCCATTTGAGATTGTGTATCTATTAGACTACCATCAGCTCCAGTGTTAGCCTGATTTTCCTTCTCTCTTTCCAAACTGTCACGAGTTGCAAGAAGGATCCGAACAGCCTGAATAAGCAGTAAAAACAAGAAAGTTATTACCAGCTAGCTTCAAACTGGTTACAATTGATGTGCACATTTGGAGGCGGTAGATAACAAAATGATAGTACAATAATCCTCAACTCCAGCCCCATATGGAGAGCCTCACTCACAAACACAGAGATCTCAGCATCGAGTTTTCAAATGGTCTGACATAGACTCCATTAAATTTGAATAAACTACTGCTCCTTCATCAGAAGTTAAAGCTCATTTTATTGGATTCATCATTCTCTTTTCAGTCCTACCACTTGTCTTATCGCTTCTACCGATTCAGTTCAGTTCTAAGGAACAATTTTGAATAGATAAAGGTAACTGATGGTACGAATGGTAATGTCTTGTAGGAGAACTTATGAATAGGATGAGAAATCATCAGCAATGATCGTAACTGGAACTTACAACATCTTTGTTTCTCTTAGATGCCATGTAAAAGAAATATACGCAATCTAAATATGATGTTTTTAAATATTTTTTTCCGTGATATTTGCAACCATTTTTATTTCTGTTATCCCACAAAAATTGCAACATTTCTGTTTTAGTTAGCTTCAAACCTATTTGCCCATTGTCATAATTACAAATAATTGATGATGTGATTTGGATCCAAAAGATTCCTCTAATGTTCACTATTGAATGATATTTTAGACACTTGATTAATAGCCAAACTAGACTTGTACTATGTTCAAAAGTAGCAATTTTCTTAGAGAAAAGAGAATGGCATTTACATGCCACTACCCGAATGACATGACGTACCTCATCAGGTTTCTTAGCAGCAAGCAATGCATTTGTGAGACCACGCAAAACTTCAAAATCCATTTTACCGGACACCTGTTAGGCAACAGACAAGAACTGTGGACATTATGAACCTTCCTTTCAATGTTATGGGATAAACAAGCTCACATTATCAGATATGCTTACAATCATAGACTGAACACACATACTTATCCAACATTAACTTTATTTGAACCCTTTTCTTTGACATCAGTGGTTCTGCAAAATAAGTAAATGGCAACTTTTGCTTTCTTTATTTGCTCAAAAAAAATTTGTACTGCATAAAATCAGGTTGTTGCATACTTCAATAAAGGATAACATCCTGATCAACAGCCAATAGAATGAGCAATGAGCAGTAACGACATACATACCAAATAAAATTCTTTACACAGGACTAAATGAATCCATATATCTCTGATGGTATGAGCCACAATGTCGGAAAGACGAAGGATTGTGTGAGAATAGGAGTTAAGTTGAGAATCGTAAGAAGGGATATGGTCCCTTGATCACTTTTAATCTCACCCCCGCCTCATGAATTGCTGATACGGGAATTGATCAGGTGCATCTAGTGCATCTCATTACTGTTGATCTTCAATTAGGATTGATCGAAGGGTGGATCCCTTCTTACCCTTCTCTCCATAACTGCCATTCTCACTGGAACTGAACCCATGTTGGAAAATTGTCTCAAATAGAATAATATGCAAAACCCCTCTTGTCTGGCAGATTAGAGCTAAATTCATGAAGCGGAAGTTAGTGAGGAGTAGAGTCGAAACGAATGCCAGTCCACTATACATCAACTTCGTAATTCAACCTATCATCTACATTGAGTGTAAGTTGCACTTGTGAATGCTACTGTCCTATATATCCCCTTCTTCCCTAATCCTTGAAGTGAAAGACTCTCGAGGGAGAGGAGAAAGAATTATGCATTAAAGCATGAGACATTGTTATGCACTCCCTCTAATAGTGCAAGATTATGGATGCAAATGTGATTAAACTATACAGAATACAGCCACAAAATGCAAATATGATATTCCTATGCCTACAATCTATAATGGTTATCAATTCTTTTTGATGTCATTAGCAGTAGGATGCAAACTTTTTAAATAAATTTATTTAGTAGGGATTAACTTGAGTTCATGGTCCTTTTGTATATATAGCACTCTAGTTGTTGGTTCTATGTCAATGGTTAACATCTTTTTTTTTTGCTGGAGCTGTCCCGAACTACTAGTGAATCTCATTTGCTTGCACATACCTTATCCACACACCAAAAAGAGGAGAGAATTTATTAGGGCATACTGACCATTGCTGAACTCCTATAAGCAGCAACACTACCTTCATAATCCTTCATTTCGAACTTTACTACTCCAAGTAAGCGGAATGCCTCCGGGTCACTAGGTTTCATCTGATAACCAAATTGTAAACATACTCAGCTACGTATAAATCTAGTGAATATTATCATTTATCCTGTATATGACTTAACAAGACCAACCTTGGTCAGATCTTCAAGCACGGATGCAGCCCGGGTATACTCTCCCAATTCTGTTAAGGTTCCAGCTACTCCCTGCAAAACCACTTGGATAATATGAAGTTGTCTCTTGAGAAGAGGTGGCCAGTTTATCTAAACCTATGTTGCAAGGAATAGGTACATGATACATGGAGCAATTCGGTGAGTCTAGAAAAAAGGGATACTGGGTGCACTTATATATATCATTATATAAGTCTAAACCCAAACTAGAAAGAACTGACATTATATCATAGTGCATAGGTAAGCAATGCAAAAGTTAAAATGTGAACTCCAACCCCGGAGACAGTTGTATATAGTATAGAAAAGATAAAGATATTGAATATCAATGCGTTGAACACGAATGATAAATTAGAGCACCCATTATAGTTCAAATAACAATAAGAATTCATTACATCGCCTCATTATTTCTCTTTCACAGTTTTACTTCAAATTTATAGACTTAATTTCACATTAATAATTTTTGAGTTTTTATTTGTCTATCTGTTTCTAAAAGTGAAGCTATTCACTTTTACAGTGAGTTGCATCCACTGATGATCCAACAATTAGCTAAGCATGGAGAAAAGCAATCAAAAGCATAGTTAACCAGTTATCCTTCAAAATAGGTTAATAAGCAGAAACACAAATCTGTAGAGACCACCAAAAGGAACAAACAGTTGAATGACAGCTATCAAATTAAATCTGAAGTTTCTAAATTATAAGAAGCAAAGCATAAGAATAAAATTGCTATATTTTCCAGCACAGTATTTGACTCACTTCACGAGCAATACGATCATCTGGGGAGATGTTAAGTGCCGCCTCATATTCTTGTAGTCTTGTCTGCAACAAATAAACCATTAACATATTCAGAAGATAGGATCTCTTATTATATGAAGCAACATTTGATTGCACAGCAACAAGAATTTGATTAAATGAAGTGATCACTTAATCATGCTGATTAGTGATTACTGAATTGTTTTTCCAATAGGAAGATTCATCATGAGTCGATCAATTTCCGGTTCTTGCCCAATTTAAAAGAAAACCCTAACATTTTTGTTTACATAACATTTGGGGACCCAGAATGTATACTGTTGCCACCTGGTGTATATGCATATTAAACCTTATCAGATATCCACATAGAAGTGAGAAGTAACATTTAACCATGTGATAATGTAACAGAATGTCATCTCCAACTAATAGTTGATAATCTAGATCAGTTACTATCACAATAAGGTTAAAAAACAAATAGAACTTTATGGTTTCTCAATATGTACTTCACCTGGAGTGTTTCTTTCTCTTCTGCTGACAATGTGTTCTTTGCTATGATAGCGTCCTTATCCGGACTGACACTGGAAAGCAAAAGTGAATATAAGAATAGATATGAGTTACGGATAGCAAGCAATTAGAAATATATAGAAGCTAATGGAAATTGAGTATACTGATAAAAAGTTCAAGATATAAGGATCCATGTCATAGCACAACATAATTCCTAGAAAAGGCAAAGCTAATTTCTGCAACAATTTCAAGGCAAACTGCTCTGTATTGCAAGAGTTGGGGGTTAGCTACATTGGGCTGAACTGGCTAACCCTTCAGCTTGCACTACTTCTGAAAGTAAATCATCTGCACATGGTCCCAACCTGTACACATGCATGCTGTTAGCAATATAGTGCAATTTTGCCTTTATCGTCTTATTGTCCCTTTCTCAGCCCAGTTCTTGACCATATATATCCACTTTTACCTTGTTCATGACCACATTACCAAAACTACGTATGTTCTGCCTTCTATCCAGTTTGTGCATAAGAAATCCTCATTACTTTATAGTTGATATGCAGCAAGTTGGGTGCAATTGTACATATGCTAAAACTTAAGAGTGTCAGAATGGCATCAAGAGGTTTGTGGTTTAATATGATTTTATCATGATTCCTTCTATTCTATCATAATGTTTGTTTTGAATGAATCATTCTACAGGGTTTTCCCTTGTAATAAGATACAACATTACCTTATTTGTTATTGACATAATAAGAGGCAAGGGCATGCTAAGATTGTCGAATTGGCGAGGTATTTGCATGGGTAGAATATACCAAAGGAGTTACACTTAGATGACGGTGGTCCATGAATGGATGCCATTTATGTAATTATGTTATGGGACCCATACTCCAAAGAGTGATTTTGAATTTTTAATGAATCTCTTCTAGCCTACCCAACTAGTTTAGGATAGGACTTGTTATCTACAAGGTGCCGTGTGAAATCTGGTGAAGTGTTAGGTGAATGTGAAAGGCTTCAACTAAATTGGTTAAACATTACCCTAAAGCTATTATAAACGTGGCATGCCTCTCCACATTGTTGCTTTCTGCTGGTGAATTTAAGATTTTTTGCATATCCAATAGATGAGATCTCAGTGAGGCTTTCACCATATTCAACTCTGTTAGATGCTCATGTAACTACTGGTCTTTGCTCTCCATGTATGGTCCTCTGTACAATTTATGTTGCCTATGAGCAGTATGAGAGCCTTTCAAGCTAGCAGCTAATCTATAACTGATGGAAATCAACAGATTAAAGATTGAATTGAGAGGAACAATGGAGGAAATTGGATATAAGTGATTGAAATTGAAAGGAATTACAATAATAGAAAAATGAACCAGGGAATCCTCCCTCTCTCTGCGCACTAATGCGAGAGCCAATAGAAACTTAGGAAAAACATTTTACCTCCCTTCTATTTAAAGGTAAGACTCTCTCCTCTAACCAACTTCTAGCCACTTTCCTTTTTTGCCCTTTCGGCCCTTCTAGAGTATACTTTTAGAATACTTGGTTTATTTATATTATGGTTCAGTCCAACTAAATCCGTAACAATAACAGCATGAAATATGTGGATCTCTACATCAAACCACTTGATTTTGAGTTGGATGCTAGCATAAATATCTGATGTGGGACAGAAGCTAAACTAATCCATTATAAAAGGAAAAACTAGAATATCACAGGAAGAACCATTTTACTTAACAAGGAGCAGTTACAGCCCTGGAGTAATATACCATACCTTCCTGAAGGGAGAAAATCTCCAAGAGCAAATACCAACCCAAAAACAACGACCGCAACTCCTACTCCAATCTATGTCATGCCATGTTAGATTCTTAACCACTGAATATGCTAAATGGAACTTCGTTCGATAATACAGAAAATGAAATAGGTATTGAAGAAGAAGCCGCCACCTTAGTACCAAGTCCTATTTGGCTAGGCTCTGATGCAATTGGAGCATCATAGTCAATTGCTCCATATATGTTCTTCTCTTCAGCTTTTTTCTGGTCCAATGCTGACCTAAGGGTCAACAACGAGGGCAAGAGGGAGAAACACATTAGCATATGATGATTAGGCACTAAAGGGGAAACAAGGCAAAAACTGAAATTACGGGGGAAATAAATTGGCAGTCTAGGTCAGCTGTAAGTCTTACCCATCGAGCAACGTATAACAATTTCTGATGTATACAAACAAATTTCCATGCCGCAAAATTTACAGCATGATAAAGTTGAATGGACTTGCAATGTAGTCAGTCTTAATGAGGTCTACTAGAATACTAATTAACTTACAAACCATTCAATATTTTTTATGGACCTTTTATCTTTTCAGGTGCATTCTTCGTGAAGTGGACTTTTGGCACTACTCTTTCAGCATGCAGTATCCCTGTCAGGGTATTCTTCATTTTCTATAAAACAATTATTGGAGTAGATGATGAGCAATCAAATATTTGCTTGCTGCATTATACAAGAACGGGTGTCTACTGCACTCAGGCAAATTCTAACTGAACATTACGAAGGTATAGAAAACCAAATAATTCCATCAAAGCATGCTAAAGAAAAAAAATTATGTAAAAACTGAAGCAAACTTAACCATAGTCATGTAGAACACCTTTTGACTGCCTGAAGCCTTTCCTCAAACTGAATATCAGAGGCAAAACTTTTAGATGTCCCATCCATTCTAGAATTTGTTCCAGGTGCCTCTGTAGGAAAATTTAACACTTGGAAGTAATGCAACAAAAATAGAAAGATATCTCTTAATGTACTTGATTAACAGACTAGCATAAATAAGAAAATAAAAGCAAGATTTTGAAACAAAGAACTTGTAATGGCAGGCATAGAATAGGTGGAAACCATTCAAGAAGACCAAGCTTTCCATTATGTATAAGTGATCGAATTTTTTTTATACCAAGTTACCGCGTGGGGCATTATACAACATTCAAAGAAACTTGCAACTCTTTTGTGTGAATGGCAGGATGAATGGAGATCAATCAGTTAATTCAAAAAGTTGTTCGACAATAAAAAGGTAGACACTTCAATCATATAATGGACTGATTCAACCAAATAAAAAACAATCTTATCCGATATATCTTGAAAATGTTTAACCCTAGTTGTAACATCTTCTTGGCCAAAACACATTTCATATTATGGGAAGTATTTTGTGTTCATTTTATGGAAGACAAATATAAACATAAATGTTATACAATAAATTCACTTACGACTAGGTATAGAGCCAATTTGCTGGGATGCTAATTTCCTGCAATGTTTAATAATCAATCATAAACCATTGTGACGATCAAATATTGGGAACATGATGTACCTGAAAGGATATACAGACTTGGAACTTTCAATTTGAACAACATTAAAACATATGCTGAAGCTTAAATCTCTAAATAACATCAAAATCAGAAGCAGAAAACAAGAATGTCACTGCAAACACCAGCTAGTTAGAGATATTTGAGACAACTCAGACAAGGGATCATTAAGCCTAGCTTATACTATTTGTAGAGTAAATGCAATCTTAAGGAGTAGCATGTAGAAGTTGATGTTTTAGGAAAGCACGGAGGGGAAAGACGTCAGAATGGTTTCTGTAGCCGTTGATTTTATTTGAGTTAGAACTTAGAAGTAAATCCATTTGTAGTGCACATAAGCGATATTACAGAAACACATCAAAAGCTGCACAAAAAGAGAAAACTACTTGGAATTTGGTGGAGCCACAAACTACCAGGTCCTCTTTGATGGATAAACTCTGTAAATACCCTTTGCATCACATTTGTGGAGCACAGGAATCATATCTCATAGTACTAGACCTACATGAAAACTAAAATGAATGTTTGTTTGCTACCCTAAGTGTGAACAATCACAGTTTGTAAGAACGGAACTATGAAAATGGCAAGGTTATGCTGTGACAAAGGTACAAAATCTTGAGGAGTTGGCCAGAACGAAAATGAGTGAACTCCATCAAAGCTTCCTATTAATCGTGACTTCGAAATGCAATTCTGGTGAAAGCGACTCCTAGGTTAGATGGATGCACACAAAGACACGGGTGCAGGAGAGAAAGTTCCGATGCATTCTCAACATGTTGCGTACAACTTGTGATACTATATCTTTGATTTCAATGCGACTTGCACCAGTCAGTCAGCCAACATGCTGAATATGAAAAACCAGGCGATATTAAGCAACTTGGCAAGTCGCCTGCAAGTTGTTTGAGGGTGAAAAAGGAGACGATAATTTACAGCAAGCAAATGAAGTTGTAAAGGAAGAAAAATTTCAAGTATCAAACAAGGCAAATATCAATTAAGTTAGGCATTCAACTTCAAGTGAATATATAAGCTCCTGCTGGAAGAAAACGATTATTTATACTACCTCTGGCGTGACGCTGCACCTCTACCCCTATCTTTGCCGTCCCTTGCAGTTGAGGCTTTGCTTGCCTGAAGAAAAAGTGTAGGAGTTTGAAGTGCTCAACAAAATCGAAAGGCATAACACGAAATGAAGAGAAACAGATTGCAAATCGACATTGGAATGGAAGGAGTGTGAGAGAGAAGGAAATTAAACCTTATTGGGCGAGGGCGAGGGGTCTTGGCTTTGGAGAGGCCCAAAACCTCGTCCGGAATTGGAATTGGAATCGGAGTTGTTGCAGCATCTTATAGTAAAAGGTGGAGATCGACATATACCACCGGCGGCACTGCGACGATTAGAAGAACGAGGAGGAGCGATGGAATGGGAGGCCTGATGATGAATGAGTGTAGTGGAACCGACATATGCATTTGTGAAGATCATGTTGCAGTAGAAGAAGAGCTGTATCCTGCAAACATGAGATTGATTGAGATACCAGAAAGCTGAAACGATGAGAGAAACGAATTAGCAGCTTAATGGACCAACCAAACTGCTTAAATTTACCATTTTCTAATTATAAATTTTCATGTAACTAAGGGGGTGTTTGGGAAAGCTTATTTAAGGTGCTTATCAACTTATTTCAGTCCACAACCGCCGATAAGTTATTTTGAGTGTTTGGATGTGAAAAAAAAAAAACTGCTTATACCGGTGCCAAACCGGTAATAAGTTGTTTTTGATAAGTTACTCCCTCTTGACTTATTTGACATATTACCCTTTTAACCCTCTCATCGCATCCGTCTCTCCTCTCATCGCATCCGTCTCTCCCCTCTCATCGCCGGCAAGTCCTCTGGTTTCTCATCGCCGGCTTCCTGCTTCTTCCTTCACTTTGCATTTTGGGGTAGAAGATATACCTGATTCTTCTTCGCTTTGCATTTTGCTTCCTGCTTCTTCCTTCTTCCTGCTTCTTCCTTCGCTTCCTGCTTCTTCCTTCTTCCTGCTTCTTCCTTCGCTTCCTGCTTCTTCCTTCTTCCTGCTTCTTCCTTCGCTTCCTGCTTCTTCATTCGCTTCACCAACTTCCAACGATTCTAGGGTTTCAAATATGAACCCTTTTTCTTCAACTCATATACCTGATGCTTTAGGTAGAAGATAACCTAAAAATGAGCTGTCCTTTTTGGTCATTTTACATTTTGGTACCGCTATAAGCTAATCCAAACACTTTTTACAAAACTCCAGTTTGATACCGCATAAGTTAATAAGCACTTTTACAAAAAAGTATAAGTTGTTTTAAATAAGCTTACCCAAACACCCCCTAAAGGAATTTACTGTGTTTTTTTTATGCAACTAAAACAACATATTATAAATTTTTAAAGAAAAAAAGTAATTTAAAAAGAAAAAAGATATAAAAAAAAGACTTCAAATATAATAACCAAAAAATAAATTTAATTTTGATTCACTTTCTTCATTATCATATATAAATTAGAAATATGTCATGGGTTGCTTTTTCTAGAATAGGACAAGATATAAGTGTAAATGATGCGAGTCGAGCTCTAGCATCATTATACTTGACTTGAATTCGAAACTCAATTTCCAAGTTCGAACTCGCGAGTAGTAAAAATCAAAGCTTAACTCGAACTCGATAACCATTTCTCAAGCTCAAACTGAAAACAAGCTCCTGCAACTCAAATCAAGTTTGAACTCGAACCAAACTTACTCGTTGAAATTTACGAAATTATTAAGGTTTTTCTTTTATAAATTTTAAAACTTAGGTATGTTTTCTTAGTATTTATAAAACTAAAAAAATCAACTTCAAACTTCATCGTAAAAAAATTAAAGTTAAAATTTCATTCACCTCCCTCTCTTTTTATAACATATTTTCTCTCTTCTTTTACTATATCTTCTCCAATGTGAAACAATTACACCAACTCTTTTTATAGTTTTTCTTTGTTTTTTTTTTAATTATGATTTTAATAAAAAAAAATGATTAACTTTTATAATAAAAAATGCATAACTTTGTATAAATATCTAAAATATATGACATTTTTATTATTTATATTTTACAAATTTTATCATAAAAACTTATTATATTTTAAAAATAATCGAATATCTCACGAGTTTTCCAAGTCGAGTTTTGGGTAGCTTGACTCGACTTGTTAATATGTCGAGTCGAGCTTGAGTTCATACCGAGCCTCAAGTCGAGTGTTGACTGAGTCGATCTCAAATAACTGACGGATTGTCTCGTATCATTTTTTCCAAGGATAGGAGAATCTTACCCGATAAATATAAAAAAAAAAAAGAAAAAAAAATGGCTTTATGATATATGGATTATGTTTAACCACATCTCCGTTAGGGGTGTTTTCGTCAATTAACTTTTCCACTAAACTTTTATCCGCGGAGAATGAGATATGACGGTCCTAAAATTTATAGAAGCACCCACACCCACAAGATGATATCTGCTTCATCTGGTCTTTGCTTCCCACAATCACCCATCTTCTTCAATCGATTAACAACCCTCACTCAACAACCTCCTTCTATTTCTGTTTCTAATCAACAATTTCAACCCACCAGAAGAGAACTGTTCAACTTCTCCATCTTCACCATCATAATCAATGCCCCTTCCAAATGCAGCTGGGCTCAAGCAGAGGAGTTGCTACACCTCCAAAGGTACACAGACACCAACCAAGGTTTTACACTCCTCATACCCACATCTTGGATCAAGGTCTCTCTTTCATTCCTACTTTAGGGTTTTTGTTTTTCCAATCCTTGTACGAAATCAAATCATCAGATGGATGGATGGTTTCAACAGGTTGAAAAAGCTGGAGCCACTGTGCTGTTTGAGGATCCCAACAAAGGAGGTAACAATGTAGGGGTTGTAGTAACACCAGTTCGTCTCACCACTCTCCGTGACTTTGGGGATCCTCAATTTGTTTCAAATAAACTCATTCAAGCTGAAAAACGCAAGGTAACTTCTTCTTCTTCTTCTTCTTCTTCTTTGATTGATTTATATATATATATACAGAGAGATAGAAGTAAGATTGGTTGTGGCGTTGCTGCAGGAAAGCACAAAAGATGTAGAAATAGTGTCATTCAAGGAGAGAGGAGGAGAAATATACGAGTTTGAATACAAGATAGATAGCACAAGGGGAGGAATAAAGAGGATATTTTCAGCTGCGTTTGTTGCATCCAAGAAGCTTTACCTTCTAAACATAGCTCATTCAGACAATCCTCAGCAACCCATCACTGACCAGACAAGAATGATGCTGGAACAAGTTCTTCATTCCTTCGCACCAGCAACTACTCCTCAAATTTAAATTGTATACAAATGAAATGGCATTTTAGATGATTTTAATCTTGTAATCGTAGAGTTTTCACTCTTCAAACATTGAATTATCAACGTTTATGTACTAAAAACCAGTAATACAGAGTTTCACACCTACGATAATTGATTTTGTCACCCAACAATGTCGCGTGCAGTAGTGAGCATGCATATACAATTATACATACACATGCACATATATGTGTATACACACACACACACACAGAGTTACGAGTTTCATACACTGGACTTCATTCTTTAAACTGCCATTCCCTACGGCACATGGGACAGTGTGCTTGGGGAGTCTGTGAATTCACCCATTTCAAAATGCAGTGAAGATGGAAAGCATGGTTGCAAGCACCCCATACTGCACAAATATAAGTACATAAAATTAGTTACCATTTATAACCAAGAAGATACTTGATTCACCCACTGAACAAAGTAAAAGCATTACTATAAAGATTTGAACAAAATTAACTTATGCTAGCTGAGAGCATGTAATCAGGATTTAAACATATTTTCTCGTGGTGATAAGAAATTATTTAGCTGCTTAAACCTCTAGCCAAATACTCTAAGGTAATTCCTTCTCAATGAGATCCTTAAGGAAGAACGGCAAATTACAAATGCTGCCCGCATTTCTCAAACTTTTCATTCAATTGTCCACACTCAAGGGAGGTATGCAACCACAGATACAGCATAAAAATGTCTAAACATCTAGCAAGTTGTTGTGCTTCACAATATGCAGATATCTCATGTAAATACCATTATGCTTCATCATGAAGTTAGGAAAGAGCTTGTCCATATTTGCTAATCTACTTATCTAAACGCATGTAACATCTATAGTATTCGATTTAAATTTCAGCAAAAGAGGTGAGATTCGAATCAGTGATCTTGCACAGGGAAAGGGGGGATTTACCGTAGGTCGTCCCCTTGGTTTCCAGTTTTTGCCAAAGTAAATATTACATCAAATGACAACTAAAGTTGGTCAACGAAAACTGGTTGTAGAAGTAGCACAAACCTTGAACCAGATTTAAAGACATCGTTTGAACCTTGCTCAGTATATATAGAAGCAACAGTGGAACATAATAAGAAAAACATGATGAAAAGGTTACTCAGGGTCGATTCCTTGCTTTCTACTCCTTAGAGCATCACAAACGGCTATGTTATAATTTTTTTAAATAGAGTATCAAAGGTTAAAATCTCTAAAAATTGCATTCAACTCCAAAAGCTACTTTATTTTAGCAATTCTATCCTTCATTATATTATTAAAATATTTAATGCATTTAATAAAATATTATTTCTCTCTCCTAACCACTTAAATTTCAATGTCTCCTATTGGTGAGAAAAAAATAAGTATTATTCTTTCTCTTGAATATGGAGTTTTAGAGATTTCTACCCTCCTTTCCTTTCTCTAATTTAGCATACGTTATAGCATAGCTGTTGGAGCAAAAATAACCCTAAACCTCTAAAATCTCTATTTTAGCATAATTGTTGAAGATGCTTTAAAGTGCCAAAATCAAGAGATTTTGATCTGTAGAACCTCAACCACAAGCTACTTCCTCCCGTGACAAAAGATCTATCGGCACTCATTCTCAGGAGCACGCCGGGTCAATTCATTTATGTATTAAGTTCTAGAAAAACAGAGTTACAAAATGATAGCATGGCACTTCATATTGTCAAATAGAAAATGTATTGTTTATATTGGAAAGCGGACATAAAGTCGTTGCTAAAAAACATTAAGTGAAAACTAAAGATGCAGTGAAAAGTACAAGAGTGACTTACTTAGAGGGCAATCATCACCAGGGAGTTTACAGTCAGGACAACAACCATCAAAAGCCATCCTACATATCCCACATGTTTCATCATGAGCATCCCAAGTCCATGAAGCTACTGCACGCCATCTATAGATCACAAAGAAGAAATTTAGTTCCTACCGTAAACCATATGTTTTTCTTTTACGATAAAAGAAATCGACAAGAAACGTACTCTGTTTATAGATCCACCAGAATTTCATGGTCAACTGGTTAAGAAAGAGCAGAGACAATGAACTTGGAAGCATCTCATGTTGGTAAGAAACACTTCAGGAATTTAACTCAAAAGCCAGACAATCTCAGAATAGTTTGCTTCAGCATTTGTAGCGGCAATACCAAGATGTGCACGTGTGAAAGAGAAAACAGGAGAATAAGAAAGAATATTGGAAGATTTACAATGTTGGATATTTTTTCCGTTCGGCCTTTCCCATAAAAATATAATGCATCCTTTCTTGCAAGCTAATTCATGGAACTATCTTCAAAAAAGTCTATGTTACTCGAAATAATCTTAAAACAAATACAAAACTTTAGCAGCTGGTCATCATTCAGAATAAGTTTAGCCATGTTGCTCGTTTCATCAGTATTATCCGATGAATGATTGAACTAACAACATTATTACAAGAGTATGACCTCCTAGAAGCAAAATGGAATGTTGTAGAGACAGGAATTGCACAATTAATTATGTGCACCACAAGAAACACGTGGGGCTAAGATGATGGTCAATGAGGATAGCCTTTTCACTAGCGTAATTTGCTATGATTTGGTTGTAGCTGTTTATATGATAGCATAAATGACCACCAATTAGATTGTTTTTCAAACAACGTACATGCAGTCAGTCACATTCAATCGCCCATTTGTCGGGAATCTGTTTTGATTCGTCTATTTTGCCCCACTAGTTGGCACACAGAGGATATTACCATTTGAACAAAATATGGCCATAAAAATTCTTAAAATGCATAGCAAGAATAATATAACATTGTAGAATCCTGGCAATAACTAAATCTGGTGGAAAGCATAGAATCATGTCGTCACAATAGTGAAATATACAAATAATTTGGTAAGGATACGCAAAAGCTTAACCTTCATTGTCTCCTCAACTGCAAAAGAATAAGCATTTCTTACATCAGCATGGCTAGAAAAAGAATCATGCTTGTACACATAATTTTAAGCTGTCACTGTATTGAATGAATCAAAATTTCAAAGCAAATTGATAAAGTATTTGCTTTCAAATATCAATCATTTCAGTTTCTCATGTCTAATTGAAAAAGGAAGAGCCACAGAGAAAGGCTAAATAAAAATAAGCAAATAGATGCCGGTGTTTTGTGTGGCTGGTATCCGGGTATCTCTAATTACGATACCAATCTTTTGAACTTTACAAATCACCAGCTGATCAGAGGTCACAATGTGAATCATAGAGGGAGAGACAACCATATATAGAAACTTGAAATAAAAAGACTTGTAGGATTAATACTTTATAGTCTATAATGCTTAAATTACCAAAATATTTTCTTTCTGTACTAAGTTTGGTCTAGTCCTTGGTCTTGGTTGACCCAAAATTGATAAGTTCAATAGTGAGTTCAGCCTCCATGCATATCACCAGCTTTTACCTGAAACTCAGGGCCTGTTCGTTAACAGCTTAATGGGCTTAATAGGACTCACAGTTTATTCAGTCAGCTATACATGATTGTTTGATTGTGACAATGATATAAAAAGTGACTTATTCAGTAAGCTTCTAGGGGGGAGCTTTATGCAGAAAGCCAAGTTTTTTCCAAGCCTTCCTTTCCCAGTAAAAAAACACGCTCCTTTCATCTATGAAAAAACCTCCAAAACAAAAACCTTCCCAATCTATACAGACAGATTAATCCACACAAACGGTTTTATTCAGACAGAACTTAATGGAAAATCAACCAAACATCCCCTCACCTCCATTTATATGTAGATTAATTGGATAAACATAAACTATTATTGACAGATATTTCTACACGTAATTACTTTAAAAGCAATGTGAAGGTCTCATCAAGCCAGCATATTGTCATTTCATTAAGAAGTAATGCAGAAGGCTGGAAATAAACAGGGGATTCCCCCTAAATGAAGTTAAAGGGTAAAAGCATGAGAGCTCAAATTGTAGAGAAGATTTCAAAAAATGGTTGGGAAGAATAAAGCAAAATGTATTTGATAATTCTAAAAAATGATGAATGGGAACAAACGGACTAGTCCACAGCCCCACTGCCAAGCTGTGGACCAAGCTGCTAGAAACCAAATATAGCAACTGTTTCATTTTTTGAGAGTTGCTGCTTCTTAGAAATGCCAAGGTACATTCATTGGCGAATCCGAAAATTCACAGACTGGGGGCACATAACAACTAACAAGTATCATATCATGAAAAACAAGAAGTAGTTACATCCTAAAGTCTTTCTCTAAGAGTTTTCATCTTTCGAAAGCGAAAATAAAACAAATTAGCAAATGCTTATATCAAGGCATGATATTATTATAGAACTTGCAAACCTACAACAAGAAATCAAAATTACAAAATATATATAGAAGCACGGTTATTGTTTTGGAAGGCATCACCTATCAAATGGAAAACATGCTTGCGATGGAATGTTGAATCTTCTGCATTTGGGTTGGCAAAAAGCATAAAACCCTCTTGTATTCCCCTTCAACAAATTGTTCGAGATTTAATAATAAATGTATTCGTTTCTTCACTTCTTTTTGCCAATTGTTTAAAAAAGTATCACAGAAATTTCCAATCAGAAGTCCACCAAACAGTAACTTTAGATTCACAAGTGCAGTGCATACAAGCAGATTTAAAATCGGAAAGCTAATCTAAGCAACTAAGCAAGAAAGAAACAAAAGCAATCTAAGAACAAACCTAAAATCGAAGCAACAAGTGTGAACCGAAAGTGTGGTGGCGACAGGTAGTGCGCAGGAGATGGTGGTGATGGGCGATGAGCAAGATGAAACAGCTAGAGGCGGTCCTCGTCTGTCGATTTGGTCGAATGGAAACGGGGGATCGCAATGGGGGGAAACTAGCGAGAGGGGGAGGGAGTGTTCATTTTTATTCTTTTTGGTCCATCTGATTTGGCAGGGAAAAGTTTAAAAAAACCCAATGGATTTTACTGTTTGGAACGATTAAACCCTTGGATAATTTTTGGAATAAATAAACCCTTAAACTTTCTAAAATTTGTTAAATAACCCAATGGACTTTACTGTTTGGAACGATTAAACCCTTGGACAATTTTTTGGAACAAATAAACCCTTGGACTT